TTTTTACCCCTCCAAATGTCGATACGAAAAGGATGGACTAGAGCCAGGCAGTGAGGTAGCGGCGGACAAAAGCCATCAGGCTGCCATCCGTCGTTCGTCCCAGCCCCAACTCGGTGCACAGTCGCCTGGGGCTGTGGGGACCTTCCCTTCTCGCGTCTGACCACCCAATTCCTCTGGCTTCGTTGTTGTATGAGTTACAAAACTTTCCACTTTTTTCTCCTGATACATTAAAGAATTCTAAAGGTCTCTCTTTTTTTTTTTTTTTTTTGGTCCTTTACTCCCGTATCGAAAAAACAATCGCAAAACGCCAGCACCGGGCAGGCAGCTTTGCGGCCAGCCCCGCCGTGAGGCCCGGGCGCTTGCTCCGCCCAGCCCTGGCTCCCTAGGTCAGAGGCCGGTTGGTTCAGGCTCCTTTACCATGTTTCGCGCCGTTCCCAGAACGTTCTGGAGTTTTGGGGGCTGGAAGTTGGGGACTGACTCCTAGAACACTCCTTAACAAACTGCGACACCCAAGTCACCCTACTCCCCCACTCGATCCTGGAACATCAAGCTTAGTCACGGCTCTGCATTTAATTTCCAGAAGATTCTGGCACCCTCTACCAACCTAGCCATAGTAACGCCCCACCCCCGCCAATCTTTTCTCCTCTTTCTGACCTAGCAGTCTTTTAAAAGGAAGGGGAGGCGAGTTTAGGAGAAGCTGGGAGGGTGGGAGCTTGTAGGGGTATGGTTGTGAGGCAGAAGCAGGAGGAGAGTCCTTGGCTTGTTACATATCCCCATGGGTGCTCCTAATGCACACCGAGCCCTGATATTCACTCTTGACTCCCTTCTTTTGTGGCCATTTTAGAGAATGAAACGACCCATTGATGTGCTAGTAGTGGGAGGAATCCAAAATAGGAAGTATGAAAACGTGTAGGTTCAATTACCTGTTCTCTACCTGTCTGTGCCACCAGACCAAGCCACTGAACCTCTGATCCTTTGTATTCATCTTTGTGAAAGGGTTTGGCTGAATGCCCTCTGCCTAGAAACTTGAGATAGTTGCTACCATAAACAAAGTAATACATAGTTCTGGTAGTAGTCCCTAACCTTGTAAGCACCTCAGTAAGAATGATTTAATTAGAGGTCAGACGCGAGAGTATGGGACCCCAACAAAAGGGAGAAGGGGGCAACTTTTGAGCACTACTCTTTCAAAGGCACTGAACTAAGCCCTTATAATCCTATTAATCCTTATTGCTACCATCCTATGAAATAGATATGTTAATTCTATTTTAGAGATAAAGAGACTTGTGTAATTTAGGTAACTTAAAAGCTTCAACAAAGAAGTAGAGTCCAGATACAAACCCAAGTCTTCTCTTTCCCAGTTTTTTTTCTCCACACTCCTGGAAATTTCCGGAGTTCCCAGGTCATTGAAGGCTTTGCCATTTGCTTGTTAAAAATGCTTGGCTCAGACGTGGTTCCATAGTGTAGCAGTTAGCACATCTGCTTTATATGCTGGGTTCACACCCCAGTGTGAGCCACAGTCTATGGTCTATGGCCATGCCACCCGGAACAAGCCTGATGTCTGATCTC